CTTAACTGTATCAGCTGCTTATTAAATATAGATGGTCGGGATTTAAGGTCAGCAAGCCTTAAATTTATGACCTATGACCTGAGACCAAATCATGATTATTGTCTGTTCATGTAGTACCCACAAACTAATAGGGAATGCTATTTATTTATTTCTCTATTGTGGCAAAGGGGGTTGAGCTTAGGACCTTCTTCCACCCCTCTTTTCAGCTTTTTAATTTTTGAAATGTTCTCATAAAAGTTTCCCAGATTTGTTTTGTCCTAACTCTATAACCCAAACAGCCCTTGAACTTTTGATTCTTTTGCCTCAGCGTCCTATGTATCTAGGATTATAGTCCTGCTCCACCAAGTCTGGTGGGGTTTTAAGTTTTTATAATTTTAATTTTAAATGTTGCCTGAGTATAAGTCTGTGCATGTGTATTTGAGTGTCTGGTGCCCACAGAAACCGGAAGAGGGCATCAGGTTTACCTGGGACCGAAGTTACAGATGGTTGTAAACTGCTACATAGGTGCTGGGAATCAATCCCAGGTCCATATAGGTGTTGGGAATCAAACCGAGGTCCATATGGGTGCTGGCAATCAAACCCAGGTCCATATAGGTGCTGGGAATCAATCCCAGGTCCATATAGGTGTTGGGAATTCAAACCCAGGTCCATATAGGTGTTGGGAATCAAACCCAGGTCCATATAGATGCTAGGAATCAAACCCAGGTCCATATAGGTGCTGTGAAAAACCCAGGTCTATATAGATTCTGGGAATCAAACCCAGGTCCATTATAGATGCTGGGAATCAAACCCAGGTCCAGAGCTTTTAACTGCTGATCTATCTCTCCAGGACTTCTTTGACTATTTTAAAATGGATTTGAAGGAGAAAAATGAGGACATAACTCTCCTAGGTGGGGGTTGAGGTGTGGTATTTGCAGATAATGAGGAAGAGCACAGACAGAGGCATCCAGAAGTGTCCATACCGAATCAGACTAGTTGACTGAACTGGGCCATGAGAGGGCGGGTGGAGTGAGAGAGGAGGAGACCAAGAGAGGAACCAGGAGCCAAGAGAGTGTCAAGAACTAAGAGGACACATAATCCAAACTGCTGAGGTTATATAGGAATTGGGGAAGCTGGTGGAAGGGAAGGGAAGGGAAGTTTAGGACAATATAGTCCTGTGTGGTGGTTCACATCTTTAATCCCAGCACTTGGGAGGCAGAGGAGGCAGGCAGATCTCTATGAGTTCAAGGCCAGCCTGATCTACAGAATGAGTTTCTGAACAGCCAGGCCTATAAAGAAAGAGAGACCCTGTCTCAAACAAAATGAAAAAAAACACACACACAAAAACAAGGATTGGAAGAAAGAAGTCCTTGGCTGGCCTAGGACTTTCTCCATAGACCAGATTGACCTGGAACTCAAGAGACTCAATCCCCTCCCTGCCCCCACTACTTGGGAAGCAGAGGGGGGCAGATCTCTATGAGTTCATAGGAGTTTGAGGACATCCTGGTCTAACAATGAGTTCTAGGTCACTAAAATTATAGTGAAACCCTGTCTCAAGTGCATGTGTACTCACGCTTGAACACACTTGCACCTGCACACATATACACGTACACACACACACACACACACACACAGCACCAGCATTAGAGAATAAGCAAGTAAAACATAAGCCAGTGAGGGACATTTTAGATTCAAGTCATGAAACCAGGTTAATAGATAGAGAAAATGCGGCACACCCATCAAATAGGATATAACTCAGCAATAAAAAGCAATTGGTTATATGTTGGAACAGGGTATAACTGTATACACACGCGCGCGTGCACACACACATACACACACACACACATCTCCCAGGCTGCTCATCAACTAGTGATTCTCCCACTTCTGCCTCCAAAGTACTGGGGTGGCAGACACTAGGCACCATGCCCAGTTGGGAATGGGTTATCACTATACATCATAGCATGAATGTAAAACAGTTATGCCGAGGGGAACAAATGAGCATAACTGTTGTCACAAGCCATTTCCCCCCTAAAAATCATTACAGGAACCATCACCCTGGGGAGTCTGCAGGGAACCCCACACCCATAATTATGTTCTATTGACAGAACCTGCCCCACACCCAATTAACTTATCTGTTAGCGGAAAGCGCCTCACATTCCAGCTATCTAGGGAACCAGGTGTGGCAACTCGTGACTTCTTGGCCTACATGAGGAACCTGAACACAGGGGCTATATGAACAGCAACCATGATTCTAATAAAGGGGGCTTCGACAAATCTGCTTGGCCTCCTTCTTCTGTCCTAGCTCATTCCCTTCCAGGTAGCGCCCCTCCGAGACCCTGGAATAACTGATTGCAAGGTGGGTTACAACCCCTAGACTGAGTAACCCACCCAAACGCAATCGACAAACTGTGAGCCCCCTTTGTCCCTGGATAAGACAGCAAGTGTGTCCATGTTAGAGTTAGCTCGATAGCCAGCATTTCCCCTTCCCTGTGTACAGTACAGTGTTCTCCATAGGAGCTCTCCTGGAAACTCAGCACCAACCTATAAACAAAGCAATGAAGGGGCTTTACCTCGGGCTTACCAAATTAGAAACTCTAAGGTAGTGGTTCTCAAACGACCCTTTCACAGGGCTCACCTAAAACCATCAATATTTGCATTACAATCCATAACAGTAGCAAAATTACAGTTATGAAGTAGCAATGAAAGTAATTTTATGGTTGGGGTCGCCACAGCATGAGGAACTGTATTAAAGGCTTGCAGCATTGGGAAGGTTGAGAACCATTTCCTCTAAGGGCTCAGGATGTCTGGGTTTCAGTTAGTTCTGATGCAGGCTAAGGTTTGAGAATGATTTCTCTAATAAATGCCATCAAATCTTACCTATCTATTGTCCCTCTAGTCAAGGTCAAATTAAACAGCCTTTGCCATCTAAAATGGATGGGTGTTACTCGGAAATATCTGCAAAATCATGTCCCAGGTTGTGAAAGGTCAGAATGTGTTTGAGTTGTAGCGCTTGTGGTTTTGGGTCTTTAAACACCTGCACCTGGCGTGAACTCCACCATTGGATCACGGGTTGTCTGGGGCGTTCCTAGGACTTTTGGGATAGTGGAGGTCATTCAGATGATCAGAAAGGCAGCTTCTAGGACAGTTTCTTTTTCTTAATTACTTGAAAAATTCTAAAGAAATTCCTATGCTCCATTTCCTCATACCTCTCGGGAGGACTTGTGTATTAGGATAGTGGTTTACATACTAAGTTTGTAAAATTTACATATTTACATACTAAGTTTGTAAAACAAAGTGGCCACTGTAGTGAGACAAATAGAACAATGGTCATGCAGGTGAAGACCAAGCACCAGTTTTCAAGTTCAGTAGGAGCCCCTTCACACTTGCCGTCCCAAGGGGCATCCTTTGTCCAGTTAGCCAGCCTTGCTCAGCAGAGGAAAAGCCAACATTCTGCCTGAGGTGGTTTGTGCTGTGTGGCTACAGGTGACTGATTCAAGAGCCACGTGGTTTCCTGGCTGTGAGAACTGAAGCAGTCCAAGGGTAGCTGAAAGGCAGCACTCACTCGAATAGACCAGTTTTCTTCCTCTACCCGGAGCCCTGGCACCATCGGGAAATGGCTTTGGCTTTTCCAGCATAGAAAGCCCTCCCACGGAAGAGCTTAAGTTGCTCTCAGTCCTTGTAGCAAATGAGGACTCAGTCAGACTTAATTTGATCTAGAAAAAAACCAAACCAAAACGAAACAAAACACATGATAGTTCTTGTACTTAAATTTCTTGGAACAAATCAAAAAAGGCTTAGGAAAATTTGTTTGCTCTATGAGTTCTTACCAGATTTTGTCCAAGCTGCACCTTTTCTCTTCTTTGGAGTTGTGGAATTAAAAATGAGACTGAATACAGTAGAGAGGAGACTTTTGGTTTTGGTCAAGACTAGAAGTGGGGGGGATAATCCTTTTCTTTTCTTTTCTCCCCCCCCCTCGGTTTTTCAAGATAGGGTTTTTCTTGTGGCTCTTCTATGTAGACCAGGCCAACCTCTAAGTCAGAGATTCGCCTGCCTCTGCCTCCTGAGTGCTGCGGAATTAAAGGCTTAAGACAGTATACCCAGCTGAGTGGGAGGTAGCTTTTCAACTAATGCTCTCATCTTTTGTGGGTTGGGATATTATAGATAGTAAAAGAAACCTGGGAGAGAACAGGCTAATAAAAGAGAGAAATAGTCATATTTTTGGGGGGTGCTGGGGTCAGGCTATGCCTTGTTCTAAGTTCCTAGTCGCAGGCTAACCTTGACTAGGGAAAGGACATTTTATTTATTTTATTTTATTTTGGTTTTTCGAGACAGGGTTTCTCTGTGGCTTTGGAGCCTGTCCTGGAACCAGCTCTGTAGACCAGGCTGGTCTCGAACTCACAGAGATCCACCTGCCTCTGCCTCCCGAGTGCTGGGATTAAAGGTGTGCGCCACCACCGCCCGGCGGAAAGGACATTTTATAAGCATCATTTGGCTTCAAGTTGGGTACAAATGCGGGAACAGGAAGACTCTGAACCTTTTGTGAGTGTCCAGCCCCACCCACAAGACACAGGCCAAGGAGTATTTCCCCAGACCTCCAAAGAGCACTTTCTATAAACATATCAGAGTCTACCAGGACCATATAGTTATGGGGGTGGCGGCGGCGGTGCGGGAGGAGTGGGGAGTTCAGTTTTCTCTGGCCTCGGACCCCAGCAGCAGTTTAGTTCTTGTAATCCTGAAAAAGAAGGTTTCAGATATACAATAAAAAGTACTAGTTGAGAGATTAATTAAGAGCAAGCAAGGAAGCAAGAGTGTGAAAGTCTTTAGAAAAAGGATCGGGGGCTGGAGAGCCCTTGCTCTTCCAGAGACCCCAAGTTCAGTTCCTAGTACCCACACTCTACCACTACTGTCCTTAGCTCCACTTCCAGAGGAGCCACTGCCCTCTTCTGGCCTCTGTGAGTGTTGCATGCCTGTGGTTCACAGACATACAGACACTCAGGCGAAAGCACATACACAACAACAACAACAACTAAATAAATTTTAATAAGGAAAAGAAAAACAGCTGGGCAAAGCCAAGTAAGAATGCGACTGGTAGGCCTGGGGCTTCTATTTCTTGTCACTACCTGTACAGCTTAGTGAGTGGCCTGACTGGGGCTGCAGCGGAATGCAGAAACAAGGAACACAGATACAGAAAAGCAGGGATGGGGTAATGTGCTCTGATGGAGACGCCCCAACAGCAGCCTGGAACTCAGTGCAAGGCGGTTAGCTAATCTCGGTAGGGCGTCTCCGTAGGGGAGCGGTCTCAGATTTCAGTCATAATGGAGGAGGAGACTACATCGACACTTTCGACACACTCTGGTTTTAGCCAAATGTCAACCGTTCTCAGCTTAGTACCGGGACTAAAGGGAAGTGTTGCCATTCCTCTGCCCTGCCCGGGGCACGGGGTTGGGGGCATCGCCATTCCCATGGGTTTGAAGCTTTGTGGTCCTTGACATAGTGTGGCTCACGTCAATACTACACGTTCACGCAGGACCTCATCAGCTCTTCACAATTTCTTCTCTGTTATCTCCTTCCTTGTGCTTGAGCAGAGAAAAGAAAAGTCCAGTTTTTTTGTCCTCCCTATGGTTGGGGTTGCCCTACAATTTAAAAAAAAAAAGTGACTCCACGGCCTGAAGAAATGTAGGTTTAGTTGAGACAATTTAGCCTTTCCTTTCACGTACTGTGTGTGTGTGTGTGTGTGTGTGTGTGTGTGTGCGTGACTTGTGACTTGACTCCAGGCTGCTTCCCTTGTTTCCTCTCTCTGTTACAGAGACAGTTTTTGTTGTTGTTTGTTTTTCTTAAGTCTACCCAAAACAAAATGGGATCATCATTCTGTTTTAAGATTCCCATTTTTTTTTCTTTTTTTTTTTCCGAGACAGGATTTCTCTGTGGCTTTGGAGCCTGTCCTGGAACTAGCTCTGTAGACCAGGCTGGTCTCGAACTCACAGAGATCCGCCTGCCTCTTCCCATTTTTTTTAATATTTATTTATTTATTCTGTCTGTGGTGCAGGCCAGAAGAGGGCACCAGACCTCATTACAGATGGTTGTGAGCCACCATGTGGTTGCTGGGAATTGAACTCAGGACCTTTGGAAGAGCAGGCAATGCTCTTAACCTCTGAGCCATCTCTCCAGCCCCCCCCTTTTTTTTTAAGAGACTAAAATTCACACATTCTGGTCCATATCCAGTTCCTCAGTCCCAGGTTCCTTCCTTTGTCAGTTGCATGGAGGAAGTTTATGTTTTTGTTGGAGGTCAGCCTCATGCTCCTACACACCTGTTAAACACTCCAACTTTGCACTTGGGCAAGCTCTTGGGAAATCTCTGCTGCAAGGCCTGTCTGCCTAGGATCAAGGTTACAGTGTGACCTTTATTGATTTCCTATTAGTTTCTCAGCATTCCTTCCTTATCTGTAAAAATGATAAACTCATTAACTACCTTGTAATCTCATATAAAAATAAGTATACCCATGTTTTTCTTAATCTTTTAAGCTTATATATAGATTAACATCCCTTGAACAATGTAGCTTTAAAACACACACACATAAACACACACACACACATACTGTTGAAAAAGTCTCTCTTGAGAAGGTTGCCTCAATCTCTTGGCTGTGTATTACTGAAAAGGGGGGGGGTTGTGGGTCCTTAGGTGTGTTGAGACTTTCTCATTCTAAGTGAACAGATCTCAGTAGGTTAGGGTGCTAGACCATCAACAGCCACCAAAGCCACCCCAGGTGCAGCAATTTGAATGAACGAGAATGGCCCGCATAGGCTCATATATTTGAACACTTAGTCCCCAGTTGGAGGAACACTTTCTCTAACACGGCTGCACCTCCTAATCCTTCCAAAGCAGTCCACCAACGGAGGGCCAGGACTTCAAATATCTGAGCCTATGGGACCTTTCTCATTCTAACCACCAGAGGAGCTATGTCAACGAACAAATACATATTTTTTTTTATATCCCAGTGTCACACACACGCCTGAAGGACAAACAGGGAGGATCTGTTCTTCGCTCTCTTTGCTGCATCTGGGCCTCGGAGGCTGACTTGAACTGTGACCCTGGCGACCTAGCCTGGCATTCTTTTGAGCTGGCTTCTCTTCTGGGTTGGATCAACAGTGAGAACCAGCAGGACACTCAGGGCTGAGACGAGACAACTGGGGGTACATCTGTGGGGAGATGTGCCCCGGACTGGGGCTGAGGGCTTCTGCCACATCAGCCCATAGGGGAGACTTTCTCCACATACTCGTCCTCCTGGCCTCGGAGGGTGGTGGCATGACTTCCCCATCTTGTCCATCCTTCCTCACAGGCGGTAGCAGTGTCCTGCTGTCTCTGTCTCTCGGTGACCCAGTCTTGCCCACAGCACTGTAAGTAATCTTCTCATGGCAGTTCTTTCTCGTGAACGATCCAGGGGTGAGTTCTCTTTCCTGTCGGGCTCCCAGCGGCTTGCAGATATGAGCTAGCATAACACACAAAAAGAAAAGAAAAGCTAGTCACCAACGAGGATACGGCAGAATCCCCAACACGCACACATTGGAGTTCGGCTGGAAATAGCAGGGAGGTGGACTCTTCCACCCGTTCGCCCGGGGCCAAGAATAAATAATTCCCGACATTATGAAGAAATGAGGACTCTTGTTTCTTGATGATGAATATTTAACTTGCTCCTCTAAAGAGGCTTTGGGAGGAGCAATTTGGCAATTTTGAGAAAAGTAAAAAATGTACACATCCTCCGAGTCATTTTAAAGTCAGCTTTTCCTACAAAAACAAAGATTCTAGGAAGCAAGACTCTACAAATAAGCTTGTTTGTCGAAGAAAGGCCGAAAGTGGACTTAACCTGCAGGTCAGCCAGAGAGCGATATTGTGTTAGTACTAGACAATAAAATATTAGACAGCTATTAAACCAAAGTAGCTCTGTGCCCATTGACCCAAAGGGACATTGTGCAATCAACAGATTGCGGAGCATTGTAGGCAGTCTGCATGGTCGGGGTGGCCCAAAGCCTCTCTCAAGAGCCAGTCTCTTTCTTTTCCTCTGTAATAGATCCTTAAAATAGAGCCAGGCACATGACTAACCTACTTGACTCTGTTTCCAAGATACTTGTGTATGGCTTTACAATTCTGATCAAAGGGAAATGTTTCGATGTATGACCCGTGCGCCTTTCAGATTCTGTTTGTAGAGAAAGGAATGCCTTCTCCACAACCAATTTCCCCATTACTTTTGATTGAGATCTAGACACTGTGTGAATCCTGCTGGGGGGGGGGCACCTGTGTGCCTGCTTGCATTTCGAGATGACACCTGAAAGTGGACCTAGCTTATCAGTATGGGGCCACCCACTTTGGAGCTGTTCTCTGGTATGTTGAAATAAGAGCGGCGGGGCTACGTCCCCAACACCCCGGCCGCTTGGCTAGCTCATGCCCGAAATAACAACACACAAACTGTATTCTGTTAAACACTGCTTGGCCAGGCTAGTTCCAGCTTCTTATTGGCTAGCTCTTACATATTGTTCTAACCCATTTCTAATAATGTGTGTAAGCACCCCCAGGTGCGCTTACCGGGACGATTCTAGCCTATGTCCATCTTGGGTTGGAGCTTCATCGCGTGTGCCTCAGAGAGCAGAGCTATCAGGAGAGCGGAGCATGGCGTCTCTGCTCTAGAGAGCAGAGCTGTCGGGTCTCCCCGGAAGCAGAGCAGAGTCTGACCTCACTTCCTCTTCCGCCCAGCATCCTATTCTGTTTATTCCACCCACCTATGTTCTAAGCTATGAGGCCAAGCAGTTGGTTTATTATAATTAACCAATTACCTTCCTCCATCACTGGTACAGAAGTAAATTTTCATCTTGTGTAGGCCATACATTGTTTGGTTTCAAGAGCAGAATCTGAATCCCTATGCAGAATGTTCTGTTGCTGTTTTTTTTATCAAAGAAATGGTAAAATGGCATGGGACTTAGCAACAGATGCTGGAAGGTCTTGTCCGACCTGTGCTCCTGGGTTCCACAAGTGGAAGAAAGTTGGAGATGTTAAGTTTCCATAGAGAGCCATAGAGATCTCCCTGCCCGTCTCCCAAGTGTTGGGACTGAAAGCTTGTGCCACCATGCCCAGCTATACTTTTTTGTTTTTCAAAAAAATAATTTTGCTCCTTAGAATTGTAGCCTGGTGTTTGTCGTGTAGCTCAGGCTGACCTCGAGCTTGTAACCCTGCCTGACTCAGCAGCATTGAGGCGACAGCACACACCACACCCAGCTACCTAAGATCCTTTCCCCTGTGCTCTAGGTAGGCTTTGTAGGTTGAAAAGAGAAACTAACTCAAGCCACACAGAGGGCAAACCATTCCCTAACATTCCCAGCAATGTGCAGGCGATGGCTCTCCAAAAATGCTCTTCTACTAAGATTAGCCTGAAAGTTTTGTGTAAGCTGAAAGTTCTTGGGCCCTGACCCACTGAGTCAGAAACCTGAAGTCAATGATCTGCCTCTAGCTAGTCTTTAAAATAAAGGGTGGGAAAGGGAGACACACAGAGAGAATAAGGATGTAACTATTTGAGTGTCATTTACACACACACACATACACACACACTTAAGCAATCATAACGAATGCACAATTTTATGAGCCTTGATAATTCTCCACTTCCATTAATGATGTAAAATTGCACATGTGCACTATTGTCAAATACTCTTAGTTTTTACTTTTAAATAATAATCCTAAAGCATCACATGATAAGACAAACAACTAATAGCTTTCTTTGTGAAGGGAGGCAGGAATGACAAGAGGCTTAAAGTGTCTTTAATATCAGGATCCAGGATGACAATGAAGGAAAGCTGTAGGGGTGTAGAGAGGAGGGAGCAGGGCTGTGGAGTGAGGTTGAGAAGGGGCGGGGCAAGTGCCGGGGACTGCTGACCAGCTGGCTCTCATTTCAATCATTTAGCAGGTTTGTTAAAAGGTGTTTCAGGGAATCACGAGCCATCTGTTAACTTACGGGTTAAAAAAAATCCATGCATACATGTTTGTGGAGAAGGTGTGGGTGAGAGGAAGAAGGGGAGGAGGGAGGATGTGGAATAGGAGGAGGGAGAATCAGAGGAAGTGTTTATTTTACACAGTTGATAACATTTTTTTTTTTTGCAGAGAGAGGGGCAGGATGAGTGACAGGTCATTTGAACTCGACATAGACCATGGGCTTGCTATGTTTGATCACTAATCCAGTTCTGGGAGAAGGAAAGAATTCAGATTGGTTTGCTGAAGCAAGTTCAAGACATAAGGCAAACCTGCAGGTCAACACAGGAGAGCCCCTGCAGGTCAGCACAGGAGAGCCCCTGCAGGTCAGCACAGGAGAGCCCCTGCAGGTCAGCACAGGAGAGCCCCTTGAGAACGCCACTGCTGTTTGACTTGCATTTCTTTGAATGCAGCAATTATGAGCCTTTGTATGTGTGTCTGCTTAGGATTGATTCTCCTGATGCAAAAATCTGCTCCTTTTCTCTGCTCATCACTCACTGAACTCTCTCCACCTTTAAAAAAATAGGCAAGTAGATGAATCTTTTCTGTTAATTATACATGTGATAAATACTAAGTCTACAGTCTTCTATCTTAAATTTTGTTTTTATGGTATAGAAATGAGATTTTCAAGTATAGGGCTGTCCGACTTTAGTAATACTTTTCAGTTGCTTTTAGAATTGAGAAAGTAGCATATCCTTCACGGATCTGATAAACATGCCGCTATTACTTCTTCTTGATTTTATTTAATGTGATTTGGATATTTAACACTTCAATCCATCTGGAGGTTCCTTTTGTGGTATGTTGTTAAGATACCGCTCTAATTTTGTTTCTGTCCCAAATTACTCATTATTTCAACACCATTCAACAAAAGCATACTCACTGCAGAACTGCAAAAAGCTTACAATGCCATACAATGAATTCTGGATTCTCCATTTTGTTCATTGATATGTGCTTTTATTTCCCCCTTTTTCTTTTTGCCAGAACCACATGTATTCCCTCCAACTTCTGATAGAGAATTTACCTATCAATAAGGGCAGCTGTCAGAGGACTGGCTAGGGGCCGAGTCTTAATCATAATAATTTGGCATTTGAGAGGCATCAGCATACTGAAAACCCATATCATGATATATTCATTAACATATAAAATCATTGATTTTATTAGTATAAAAGCAAAGTGTGCTTTGCAGAACTTTTAGCAATAAGATATGAATCAACCCAGTTAAAGTGTTACAGTTTGCTGACCTTTTTCTTGTTCACAGATCTGTGCAATCATTACCACAATTAGCTGGAGAACACTTCATTACCTGCCAGAGAAACGCCTTCCTCACCCACCACCTACCCCAGACTTCATTGCCCTCTCTCCCTCAGTCCCCATCTGACCTGCTTTGTCTCTCTTTTGATGGTCTCATACAAATGGAGTCAAACACTATGTGGTCCTTGTGGCCAGGTTCTTTCACTTAGCACGATGTTTGAAGGATCACGTATATTGTGATAGTACTACATAATTTTTTTCATGGTGCACTATATAGATGTATTATTCATGCATTCATCACTTAAATATTTAAGTTATTCCTGTTTTTTGCCTTATAAGTAAGGTAGGTATGAGCATTTGTGTGCAAGTTTTTGTTTGGATGTGGTTTTTCTTTGAGTGTATATCTAGAATTAGACTTACTGGATTGCATTTTGAAACAGGAAATTCTGTAAAGAATTTGTCTCCCAACATGCCTTGTAACCCAGTACTTTATACTTGGTGCATATTCTTCCTTTCTTTAAGCACACACATAGGTCCCCCTCTGTCTGTTTTACTAGTCTTTAATTTTCTTTTTTAAAAATATCTCCCTCTCCTCCTTTTCTCTTTCCTATCCTCCTTTTTCCTTCTTCATTCATCAATAAAACTGCAAAAGAAGGCTGAGCATGAGCCCCACAGAGGAAAGACCATAAGGAAGCAGTACAGCTCCTCTGGAGACTACCCAGTGCTGGGGTCTGGTCTCGATTTCACCAGATTTGTAACAAAATTACCTGACAACAATTTTATTTATTAGATTTATTTATTTTAATTTATGTGTATGAGTATTTTGTTTTGTATGTGTACCACTTGTGTGACTAGTGCCCATGGAGGCCAGAAGAAGGTGTCAGATTCCCTAGAACTGAAGGGGCAGGTGATCATTAGTTGCTGTAGAATAATCTTTCTGTAAATGTGTGTCACTCTGATTGGTTTAATTAAAAAGCTGATTTGGCCAATAGCTAGGCAGGATTTTCAGGGCAGAGCAGACACTGGGAAGAAGAAGGGCAGAGATGGGGGAAGAAGTCAGCCAGATGCAGAACAAGTTGGACACACAGAATGGGATAGAGGTAAAATCTATATGGTAGAATGTGGATTAATAAAAATATGGGTTAATATAAATTATAAGAGCTAGTTAGAAACAAGACTAAACTATTGGCTGAGGTTTCATAATTAACAATAAGTCCCCATGTCATTTTTTGGGAGCTGGCTGGTGGGACAGAGAAAGACTAGTTACAGTTAGTCACCATGTGGGCTCTAGGAATTGAACCCAGGTCTTCTGGAAGGACAGTTAGTGCCCTTAACCACTGAGTCATCTCTCTATTCCATGACTTCTTCTAGTCTGAAATGAATTTTTTCTTTTTAAACTTATTTTTAAACTTATTTTTATTTTTCTTCCTTCCTTCCTTCCTTCCTTCCTTCCTTCCTTCCTTCCTTCCTTCCTTCCTTCCTTCTTTTCTTTCTTTTCTTTGAGACAGGGTTTGTCTGTGTAGCCCTGGCTGCCTAGAACTAGCTCTGTAGACCAGGCTGGCCTTGACCTCACAGAGATCCACCTGACTCTGCTGAGATTAAAGGCGTGTATCACCATTGCCGGCTATTTTTATTTTATGTGTGTGGGTGTTTTGCTTTTATGTATGTCTGTGCACCACTTGCAAGCCTGGTACCCACAGAGGCCAGGAGAGGGCATTGGGTGTCCTGGTAATGGAGTTACAGACAGTTGTGTGCTGCCACGTGAATACTGGAGGGTGAACCTCTGTAATTAGCCTCTGGGAGAGTCAGTGCTCTAAACCACTGAGCCATCTCTCCAGAGCCAGTGCGGGCATTACAACCCTCACATAGTTTGAGATGTTTCCCTGAGAAAATGTGTTGTATCTATATACGAAGCAGAGTAAGACATTAGGGAGTCATATAGAATATGAATGATTCATTGGTTTCTAGAACTTTCTAGGTATCTAGCATTGTAGACTGCCATCAGTGAACGTCACAAACATACTCCCAAGCTTTATGGCTGATAAACATGCTTCTGCATTCTCCTAATACATTTATTTAAATACATGTGTCTTCTGGATGTATGTGCTTTGCTTATCAAGAGCCAATGGGGACTATAGGATAGTCCTCCAGTCTGAACGGCACCAAACTGTCTCAGTCACTTGGAATGGGAGTGCTTACTTTACCATCACACAAGACATTCAGTTTTATTCACTTTTTGGTTTCTAGGATGAATATCTTTATTCCATTAATCCCTTCATAACATCCATCGAAATAAGCTTGAAGTTCACTTCCTTATTAACGGAATGCTTTATTTATTTCTCTGTGGCTTTGGAGCCTGTCTGGAACTAGCTCTGTAGACCAGGCTGGTCTCGAACTCACAGAGATCCGCCTGCCTCTGCCTCCCAAGTGCTGGGATTAAAGGCGTGCGCCACCATCGCCCTGCCGGAATGCTTTATGATAATAGCCTTTCTAATCTTTATCACAGTTGCTTTTGTTTATTTATTGTATTTATTTTTATTTTTTAAAGATGGGGTCTCACTGTGTAGCTCTGACTGTCCTAGAATTCACTGTGCAGACCACACTGGCTTCAGACTCACAGAGATTCCTCTGCTTCTGTCTCCTGAGTGCTTGGGACTAAAGGAATGTGCCACCATGCCTGGTTTGTTTTGTTTTTTTGAGGCAAGATCTCACTGTGTAGCCCTGGCTGACCTGAAATTCCCTATGTAGACCAGGACGTTCTCCAACTCACAGAGATCTGCCTGCCTCTGTCTCCTGAGTGCTGGAATTAAAGGTGTGCAACACTACTCTAGGGCTTTAGCACACAGATTTTATTAAACTAATTAATTTACTTTATGTGTTTTGGGTATTTTATCTAAATGCATATCTATATCCCTCATTTGTACCTGGTATCCACAGGGGCCAGAATAGGGCGTCACATCCTCTAGGACTTGAGTTAGAGAGTGTTGTGAGCTGCCAGGTGGGTGCTAGGAATAAAATCCAGGTCTGGAGGAGCAGGCAGTGCCTTTAACCACTGAGCCGTTTCTCCAGCTTGTCGCATAGTGTTAATATAAATGGCAGTAAGTCAAGATAACTGGAAAATTTTAAAAAAATAGCAAAACAACAACCCTGACTTCAAGTATTTTTCACATTTTTATTTGATAGTCTGCTTTATTGTTTGTTTTTTAAAGCAAGCAATTCTATTTGAAATAAACTTTTAGGGAAAATTTACATACATGAAATTAATGTATTCAAAGTATACACATCATTTTTTTTTTAACAAAAGAGGAAAGGGTATCAATTAAGTCTTGTCACACATCCTTGTAAGGCAGGAACTGCTCTTCTTCTCACTGGATGGAGGACGCAGTTACACCCTCTGTTCGGTGGGCTGATTTCTGAATGCCGTTCAGTTGGATGAATGATTGTCTCTGGCACGGTCTCTCACGTCACCCGCTTCCTCCGACGGTGGATGTGCAGGTTAATCACACACCCTTTACTCTGACTGCCTTTCTCAATGCGACCCTTCAGTGAAGTCTTGCCCTTTGCTCCTTCTTTCCCATCCACTTCCTCTTTGATCTAACAAGACAGCACACTCAAGAGACGTGTTGCTCTTTGAACGGGAGTGGTGTCTTCCTAACCCACCGTGAGACGTTCATTCCTGTGTGTCCTGAGGGGTAAGAGCTGAAGGCTCTCTGGAGAGAGTCCTGTTGCTGGGACAAGTCATTCTGAAGGGGTCAGGCAGCACATGCTGGGTCCACCAGAGAATAGGTTGAGATGATAGCTCAACACAGACCGCTGCCGCTCTGGGCTGTGCCTGCAGTATGTGCCTACTGTGCAGAGTCGACCTGCTGGCTATGGCTACGCTGTCTGCTGTCTGGCGCTACTTCAAACCTGATTGCATGCGTGTTTTCACTGCCGCCGCTCCTTCCCCTTTTGACAGAACTTCCTCTTCAGCTGCAACTATGGTGAAGGGCTGAGGGAGGAGGGTTTAAGCCAAGATAACTCTTTCTGGCAAACACTGAAAACAGAAAGCAGCTGAGCATTCCCTAAGAGCATGCTCCTCATCCACATCCTCTCCCCAGGATCTCTGAGTGTTTTTCCTTACTCAGCACTAACTGGAGACAGGCCCAGTGCGAGGATCTGGAGATGTTGTTCTAAGGTCTAAGGAGAATGAAGTCACTGCCTACCCCGAGACACACCTTGGGGGCTGCTGGGTGACTCTGATATTAACTTCCTTGACCCTCCCTGCCTTCCTGCTTCTTTAACTTTAGGCATCCACTAGTCTCTAAAATTTAGGATCCAGGATGGGGAATGTCCCCTGGATATTAACCTCCTTGAAAATAGGAATTATACCTTATTCATCGTTTTGGAGAGGTATGTGGTACAACCATTTGGGAAAAAACAGTTTTAAAGTTCCTTATTTGCTAACTAAATACCACATAAGCCAACATCCCTCTCCTAGATAACTGAAAACTCACTTTTATGCAATAATTCATACATGAATGGTCATAATAACTTTATTCAAGTGCAAATGAACCAAATGTGGTATACTCTATTTTTTTTTTGAGGCAGTGTTTCTCTGTGTAACAGTTCTGGCTGTCCTGGAACTCACTTTGTAGACCAGGTTGACCTTGAACGCACAGAGATTTGCCTGCCTCTGCCTCCTGAGTGTTCAGAGTGTTCAGATTAAAGGTGTACACCACCACCATGCAAAAAATTGTAGTTTACTCTTAGAATTATAATGTACAATAAAAGGCACAAACTAATGATAAACACACACACCATGGAAGAACCTCACAAACATTTTGAGTAGAAAACAGATACATCAGTACATACTATGTGGTTCCCTTTAAATGAAACTAGAAAACCAATTGGGTTCCTACACTCACATGGCACATACTCATATGGATGTATATAAACAGATATAAATAAAAATTATAAAAATAAACCTTTAAGAAGGCACATGTGGATGAATGTATATATCCTGTGTCTTGAGGATGGTGAGAATTACACAACATACAAACTTGTGAAAAATATTGAGGCGTATACTTCGAGTGAATTTAAACTTCATGCTGGCATTGTAACTCACAGGTGTGCGTGCATGTGTGTGTTACACACACACACACACACACACACACACACTCAAGCATAATTTAAAGAAAAATATAAAGTTCTTAGTCATGTAACAGGATCTCAGACCTTAGTAGGTCCCAGGACTTATCACAACTGACTCCATGATGGAAGTACCATTCAGACTGTAAAACTCAACATGTAGACAGCACCATCCGCTGAAACGAAAACAAAGGCCTACTCCATCAAAGCCCATAGTTCTGGGAAAGTCTCTAAATGTACTAACCTTGGTTTTTTGCTTCTGTAGTTCCGTTTCTGGCTAACTGTTCTTGCTAACTAAAGTGTGTCCACATGGGTCATGTCTTTTGTACTTAAAAGCTCACCTGAGAAAGGTTTGGGGCTACCCTGGGATCCGAAACACCCAATGTGGTCACCAGGCAGCTAATAAGGACTTTTTTGTCGGTTTCCACCCATGTAGGAGCAGTCTTCTCTGGTGAAGGTCTTAGACAGTCACACAGACCATTAGATTTGGTGCAGTGCCTTTGTTACGGTCAACACCTTTGAACAAAGTCCCTCTATTTTTATTTCACGATTCCTTTTAAAGACATTCTTCATTATTGTTACATGCATGTGTGATGTGTGTGTGTATGTGTGTGTGTGTGTGTGTGTGTGTGGACATGCTCATGGAGATCAGAAGACAATGGTGTAGAGTTGGTTCTCTCCTTCCGCCTTTCCAGGGACAGAACTCGGGTCGTCAGGCTTCCAGGCAAGCGCTACTGACAGAGCACTCTCATCAGCCTGCCTCTCACAAGTCTATGTGTGCACACACATATGGAAGATGGTGTACTTGATCATATTCCCATCCCCGTTATCTTCTTTTCTCTTCATTTTATTTTGTTTTTTGAAACAGGATTCCTCTGTAGCTTTTTGGAGCCTGTTCTGAAGCTTACTCTGTAGACCAGGCTGGCCTTAAATTCACAGAAATCTGCCTGCCTCTGCCTACCGAGTGCTGGGATTAAAGGCGTGTGCCTTCACCGCCCCACCCCCATTATCCTCTTTTCTCCCTTTCTCCTCCCACCAAACCACCTTTTCTAAAAACCCATCCTCCTGCTTTTACATCTTTCTTGGTGGCCTATTGCCTTTAATAGGGGTTGCTTGCTTGTACTAGCATGTTGGGAGGAAGGTTATTTCCTTAAGAAAGGACAATTTACTAGTGTCTATCACCAAGGACTATGACTCCCCGCCCCTCAGCAACCATTGCCTGCTATAGTCCCTCAGCTATGGGTGGGGCCTCCTTTGTCCCCTCACCCCCACCAACAGGCTATCTTTTCTGGGTCTGGTGCAGGTAGTCACAGCTTCTGTGATCTCATAGGTGCAACTGCCACGTCTTGTACCAAAGACAGCGTTTCCCAGGGCTCCTCCCCACCCTCCAGTCCTTATGCCCTCTGGGCTCTTCAATCAGCATGTTCCCTGGGTCTTGGGGGAACAGGGGTTTGATAAAGATGCTTCTCTTCAGTGTTCATTTCACCATTCTGACTTCTGGGACTCATGCTATTTAAGATCATCTATACCTCCAGCTCCTGGGGGGGGGGGGATCCCTGGGCTCCTTGGGTACCTGCACTCACAGGTACATATCCACACACAGACACATCCATATGTAATTAGAAATAATAAAAATAAATCCTTTAAAAAAGAATTACATTCATGGGAACCTTAAAAACAAGACAAGTTTATATTTCCAGAGGTTTGTGTCTTCTGGACTTGAAGACAAGAGTGTGTGTCCCCACAAGGACCAGGTGCTCTATTGCTAGAGGGCTATTGCTGACTCGTCAGATTGCAGCTTTTTTATGTTGTTCTACTTCGCTATATTTTAATTTTCCTGAAACGAGTATTCATTCCCTTTTTTGACCCACATTTCTGACATTTTAATCTACTCAGACAGTCTAACATGAGTGGGAGATCGTATGGCTCCATGGCTCTCAGCAAGATCAGCGTCAGCATCGGCTTCAGGAGTTTCCTTTGTGCCTCTCAAGGAAGCACTTTTCTGGGGAACCGGGCACAAGAAAGGCCAAAGGTGAGGTTTCCAAGTCCTTTTCCTGAGTCTTGACCAGTCCCAGGCAACAGAGTCATCATCCAGTTCAACTCCCTAGATCCCTAATAGGCAAGGCTTGCCCTACGGACTCTCGTGATAAGGACATATCTATCTTATATTAAAAAGTCAAGCAAGAAGAATGACAGCAGACTGGGAAACAAGCAGCACACTGCAGGGAAAAGCCAACCGACTGAAAGGAAAAGGTGTGGAGAGAGGCAGAGAAGAAGGAGGTGAGAGAACAGGGACGGAGAAGCAGAGGAAGTGGTGCTGCAAGAGCCAGGAAGGAGACAGTGCTGGGCAAAGCTGAGGTTAGACACAGCTGTGGCTCAGGGGAGGCCAGAGGCCTAGAGGGGAGGGGACATGACAGCCCAGGCAGATGGGACACCCGAGGAGTTCTAGAAGCGGTGAAGCAAGGGCCTTTTCCTGCTCAGCTTCTTGCGCACTTAGAAGTTTGAGGAGGACTATTACAATGGCTGGTTGTTTGGGGAGTTCTAGGACAGACTTAGCAAGGTTTGGGCAGGAGGGAGTGGGAAGGACTGACAGACAACCTACACCAGGTAGGCTCTGTGTGTACTTAGTGGCCACTGAGAAGTGGAACACACAGGTGAAGAGAGCTTTGTGTACCATGAAATTTACTGTGGGGCCGAGGAGATAGCTTGGTCCATAACATCCTTACCTTACAGCTCCAGGGCCTGAGTTCAATCCCCAGAATCCACGTAAACCAACTGACTGGCCAACAAGACCCAGGCCTGGGGGCGGGGGGCCATACATTTGGAATACTGGAAGGATGAAAGCAAATACAGGTGGATCCCCACAACATCAACTTGTATTAGGACAGTCAGAAAGGAAGTAAACGCTACTGGGAAGGTTACATGAGGCTATAGCTCCCTCCCACTTCACAGATGGATCCCTGTGTGGCTGCCATGTCCACAACTATCCAGGAGAGATGCTCAGATTTCTTACACAGTTAACAAGCACAGGACCGCCCACGTGGGAACAGATCTGGGCCTACAAGTGACCAGCAGAATGAATAAAAGCCGGAGCAGCACCAATCAAAGGACTGTTTCCCTCCCGCACCGTGTGTGTGTGTGTGTGTGTGTGTGTGTGTGTGTGTGTGTGCATATGGGTGTGCTGTGTGTGTTTGTGAAAGCCCCCTTGTATCTGATGCAGTGTGAACCTTAATGGAAGCTATGGACTTCAGTTAATAGCAATTTATCAGTGTTGGTCTATTCACTGCAACACATGTGTACACGATGCAAGATGCTAACAGGGAGATGTGTGCAGAGTGTGCAGTAAAGAAGGGAGGAGGAGCAGGGAGTAGGTGGAATCTCTCCGGACTCTCTGCTCAAAATTTCCAGAAACCTAAAAGTGCTTTTAAAAACTGTATTTATTAAAAAAAAAAAAAAAAAGAGGAGGGGGGGTTGTTGGGGAGGAGGGGTGGCTGGAACATTAGCTCACTGGTAGAATGTTTTTAATGTGTAGAAAGCCTGAGTTTTTAATGAATCCATTTCTGAGACTAGCCAATCAACAACAACAAAAAGAACAGGGTAGAGGGCTTTCCAACTAGATATGGCGAGACTATCAATACTAATGTCAAATACTAAAGGGCTTCACTTGGTGCTACCCTGTCAGATAAGAGTATAACATTGTGTTAGGAGAAACTTTCAGAAAAGTTTTTTTTTTTTTTTTTTTAATTCAGCCAGCCAGCGTGTTCCCTCTGTACCACTGCGATTCCTTTGTGGGATAAGCGATGAATGACTGGAGCCTCCGCAGCCACCACAGAGCATGAGGAATGCTGTGGAGGAAAACCACAGATGAGGATGCTAAGCCCGGGTTCCTGAGGAGCATGGTGCCTCGATGCCAATCCTGGGATTATTACACCAGGCTCCTTTTAAGTGCAAGAAAGGAAGTTATTGTCCATTTAAATTTCTGCTGTTTGCATCCATGCTACTACTGGTTGAATGTAATGCTGACCACAGGCAACAAATTCACTACTAAGCTATTGTGATAAAATGTATGTGCAGCACATGAAGAAACAAGCCAAGTAGGGGTTAATAAAGAGTCCATGAAAAAATTCAAACGGGAACTTAATATAATTAAAAATGGTGTTTCATTTGGAGGGGAAGAGACGCTAGCTGCACCAGATCTCCATCTGGAAGAAAGCACAGTGACACTCTACCCTACTTCCCACGTAAAAATAAACTCCAGATGGATTAGAAGGCTAAACGTGAAAATAAAAGTACTAGATACAAATTGAGGAATTATTTATAAAGTTGCAAAGAAGCCCCTGAAGTAGAAGATGAAGCTCAGAGACCCCCGAGAGCCACCATTTGAAAACCATAACTACGTATTGCCACTGAAACTTGTAGACACCGGTTTCAGATACTGAGCGAAACTCTGAGCAAAGTCAAAAGGCAAATGAAAAAACACACAATGAGAGCAGCTAGTGGACGTCAACGCCGGCAAATCAATAATTTAAAAGACAGCCAATTCGGTGAAAATGTGGCTGAGAACATCAATAGAAACTTCCAGAAAGAAATGCGACTCGTGGGTAATATTCTCAACATCACGACATTCAAAGAAAAAAAAAACGCCAGAACAATAATGCATCTGGCATTTGTAATGAAATATTTTCATAGATTCTTTGAGGATGTTATACATGTAAATGATTTATCTTGATTATATCTATCCCTAACGCCCCCTTCTCAACCCTCCGGGCACCTCAAACATGCCCCCTTCTCCTGTTTATGTCCTCCCTCTCTCTTTTTGTAACTGATGAGTCCAGTTAATGCTGCCTTTTGGAGTGTTCGCTGAGCTTGTTGACTTGATCTGGTGTAGGTAACCATAGTTACAGTAAGTTCATGAGTACAATGTCCAGAAGCCAATGTGTCACAGCACCCCTCCCTGTCCTCCAGCTCCTCCATCCTCTCTGCCTCCTTATCTGCAGGGCTCATGAGTCTAGGTGGGAGGTGTTGACTGTTGAGCTGAGCACTCAATAGCCACTTGCTCTCAGCACTCGGACCATCTGTGGGTCTCATTATAACTGGTGACTACTGGAAAGACAAGCCTCTCTGACCAAGACTGAGAGCAGCCCTAATCTGGGCATAAGCACAGATATTTAGAAGGCAGCTGAACGGGATGGCCATTTAGCAAGACAACAAGAAAAGGTTCTCTCTTAGAACCTATGGCCTCCTGAGCCATGGACTTTTGACCAGGATTACAGAAGCACACATGAATTTCCTCCTGTGAAGAAGACCTCAAATCTAATCCAGAAGTGGTCAGTTAACTCCTTAACCTCTGTGCCACTTAGGCAACAGTGGGTGTATCTTCCCTGGTAGGTCAGTACCACAGCATTCATGGTTGACCACTAATAACGGCTTTTCTCCTCCAGGGGCCTGCATAACACCTTCCAGCACCTTGAAAGCTAGCCAGCAGGAGGGCGTTTTCTTGGTCAATTCCAGTTTGATTTCTTTATAGCCTACAAAATACGTGGTGTCTTCATCAGTAAGGTATTACCATGTAGTTATGATGGGGAACTGTCAGGACTGTTACACAGAGAAACCCTGTCTCGAAGCACCCCCCCCCCCAAAAAAAAGACAGAGAAAAGAAAAGAAAAGAAAAAAAACAATGATGGGTCTAAGCGGAAAGTTTTGCTGCTGCCTCCCATTGTGAAAAATGATTTGGGGTTGAGTCCAGGCAAAACAGTAGACTGTTTTTATGTTTTAAATAGATTTGGGTCTCTTCAAGCTCTGGCAATGTTCGGGGGGCTATCCAGTGTTACTGTGATTGTGAGTGACTGTCACTGTGTCTAACAAGCACAGTTGGTGCATTTTTTTCAAATGTTCATTCACAAATGAGATAATAAGCTTGGCCGTAGGTATTGCTACACTTGAAACAGTTGGAGGCAAGGGCTGCTTTCTGACCACGAAGGAATGAAGTCAGAAACTAGTAGCGATAATCCTTCTCTTAAAAATCTTGAGTATTAGGACATTAACTTCCTTTAAATAACCCCCGTGGCTCGAAGGGCATTAGAAAAATTAAGGCTAAGAAGGAAATGATAAAGAAGGGAGAAGTCAATGAGACAGAACAGAGAAGAAAAATTGACAAAACCTGAAGATGGTTTTGAAAGATAAATAAAGCAAATAAACAACTCTAGGGTGGGAGGGAGGGAGGGAGGGAGGGAGAGAGAGAATGAATTAGAGAATTACCAGTGTCTGAAATCTGAAATGAACCCTGTAGATACGAAGACAAGGGGTATTGTGAATCCCCCATGTCGGTAATCCTGAAAAGCCTTAGATGAAATGGACACACATATAGGAAAATCCAACAGTCAGTTCTGGCCAAGATGAAATGTAAACTCTGAACATGCTTATATCTATTGAGGAAGTGGAAACTGCTGGCAAAAGTCGATAGAGAAATGTCTGCTTTGATAGGTTCACAGTTTATTTTAGTCAGATGTTTTTGATTGTTTTTTGAGACAGGGTTTCTCTGTGTTGCATCGGCTGTCCTGGAACTCACTCTGTAGACCAGGCTCATTTAGAATTCACAGAGATCTTCCTGCCTCTGCTCCCCCCAGGAGCTAAAGGCGTGCGCCACCACCATGTGGCTCTATCAGAAATATGAGAAAGACATTTAAGATTTTTTTTTATCAGAAAATGGAGGGAAATGAATGCCTCCTGTCTTTTTTTTTAAATTTAGTTATTATTTATTATGTATACAATAGTCTATCTGTGTGTATGCCGAAGGCCAGAAGGGGGCACCAGACCTTACTACAGATGGTTGTGAGCCACCATGTGGTTGCTGGGAATTGAACTCAGGACCTTTGGAAGAGCAGGCAATGCTCTTAACCACTGAGTCATCTCTCCAGCCCCTTCCATCTTATTTTGTGAATCCAGATTATCAATGATATTAAAAACTGACAGAAGACTATCGGAAAAAAAATAGAATCTCCTTGTGATGATGACTGACCCTCAACTTGCTGGGATCTAGAATCCTGTCGGAGACAAGCCTCCAGGCATGCCTGAGATGGAGGTCCCAGGTTTATTGTGATGGGAAGACCTGCTATTGCGGGTGGTACCACTCCACAGTTGGAATCCTGTGGAGGAGAAAGTGAATTGAACATTCCCTTCTCTCTCTTCCTGACTGCAGACACACTGTGAGTAGCCGAGGCTCCTGTGGCCAAGACTTCCTGCCGCTATGGAGAATATTCTCAAACTGTGAGCAAAATAAACTCTTCCGTTCTTAAGTTTCTTCTATCAAGTACCTTATAACAACAAGACAGAACCCCAAAACATCTGGGCCCCCACAAGTCCAGATGAAAAATACTTAACAAAATAAAAGTCAGCTAGCTACCCATAAAGGACGATTTTTCATGGCCAAGTGAGACTTATGACAGATTTAGAGTAATATGTCCTCCGGCTGCTAGTGATGATGTACTCAGAGAGACAAAGTATAAAATAAGAATGTTCTAGCCAGGTGTGGTGGCACATGCTTTTAATCTCAGCTCTTGGGAGGCAGTTGTATCTTTGTGAATTCAAGACCAGCCTGGTCTACACAGCAAGTTCCAGGATAGTCAGGGCTACAAAGAGAAATCCCATATATAATCCCCCCAATAAAAAAAATAAACAAGAATGTTTAATGGAAAATAGGTGGTTGAATATAGCAAAAAAGCACCAGACAGGAATCAGGGGAGGGTGCTGGCCTCAGTTCTGTCTCCAGTGTGAAGTATGGTGTGATAACGGCTATTTGCCTGCGTTGGCCATGGGTTCCACACATGTCCAATAATGAATAGTCTGACGCGAATATTCTGAGACTGAGGCTTCCTTAGTTTTTGTCACATATGACTAGAGTTTCTGCTTCAGTGCCCCTAAAGGCAGAAGTAGAATGCGTGGAAGAAACGCTTCATACCCGAGTACAGTGACCATCTGCACATGACTGAAAGCACTGAGTCTCTGTCAGGCCCCATCTGAGAACAGCCTTATGGCTTCAGGAAGTGCTTTTCAATGAACTCTCTGGAGGGGGTCTAATATGTCACTGTCCCATGGCTCAGAATGATCTGAGGATGGATTTTCAGTTCTGCAGCCTGCCGCATGGTCTTGGGGAAGCCTCCCATCACCAGCTCACAGTGTCTTGCTCTGTGAAGATAAAGCTATGAGCATCAAGCAAGCCAGCATAAGAAGGGACATGTGTTATAGCTGGTGCTCACCGAGGGCTGACTTCCATTCACATGGCAGTCAACATGATGACCACATACAGCCCAGAGCTCAAGACCATCACAACTCAAAAAACAGAGATTCACTGACCTCTATGATGGAAAAAAGTCAGAGGTCAGAAGCCTGGATGTTGTTGGGAAGCTCCGTGGGTAGGTGTCCTGGCTTCATTTCTGTCACTGTGATAAAATACCCAGACCGTAAACACATTAAGGAAGAGAAGAGTTTACTTTAGTTTACAACTCTAGATTCCGGTCCATCATTGTGGGGAACCAAGAAGGCAGGAACTTGAATTAGCTAGATGCTCATCACATCCGTAGTGAAGAGCATAGATAAATGCATGCATGCATGCATGCTTGTGTTCAGCACTCTCTCTACACGGATGCAGTCTAGGATCCCTTACTTAGAGAAAGGTGCTGCCTAGAGTGGGCAGGACCTCCCTGCGTCACGTTAGGGAATCAAGACGATCCTCCACAAACATCCCATAGTCTATTTGATCTAGATGATCCATCATTGAGGCTTTGCTCTAAGGGTGATTCTAAATTTTAACAAGTTGACAATCAAAATGAAACAGCATGTAAGAAACCTTTGCCCATCTTTTAGTTGAATCATCCTAAGTGTATCCACATGGTCACCTCATAATTCAAGAAGGCTACTTGACTTTTAACTATCCCACGCAAGAGATAAAAGAATGGCAGAAAAGAAAAAAAAAAACAATCTAGCAAAGTTAAAGTTCTTATAGAGAACTTTCCTAGATCCCACTGAATGGTGTTTATTTATCTTTCTGGCTTCTGCTGGTTTGCAGGAGATGGCAGAGAACATAATCTTTTAATTGGGTACATTGCTACTCTCCACCGGAGCCAAGGAGCAGATTCAGTCACTAAGAACCAAAGCATGTTGGTTAGTTTTTACTGCCACAATTTGATACAACCGAGAATTACCTGTGAAGAGGGAACTTTAGCTGAAGAACTGTCTTGATCGGATTGGCCTGTGAGGATGGAGATGGGGGTTTCCTCGATTGTCAATTGATGTAGGGCGCCCAGTGCACAGTGGGCAGCACCATCTCCTGGCAGGTGGATCTGCAAAGTATAAGAAAGCAAGTTGAGCATCAGTCAGAGAATGAGACACTCAGCAGCTTTCCTCCTTGGTTCCGCCTTGAGTTTCTGCCCTGACTTCCCTTTGTGATTAATTGTGATCTGGTGGTGTAAAGTAAGTAAACCCTTTCCTCCCCAAGTTGCTTTTGGTCAGTGTTTTCTTTATCACAGCAACGGAACAGAATAAGAAGACAACGAAAGAATGGATACTGGGTGACGACCCGCAGTCTCTGTGACATTCCCTTTCCACATCCCTAATGCCAGTTTTGGTTGGAGATTGTGGCACTACCACAGGGCAGCTGGCGGGCTTCTGGATCACAACACGGGGCAAGGCAAACAGCTCTTGAGCAACGAATAGGATTCAAAACGGCAGTAGTTCAGAAAATTACCTCGCTGAAGCCAAAGAGCAGATGCCTAGAATTCTGTGTCTTTGAACGTGGGTCCCAGGCCTGTGATTAGCATTGCTGTGGTAGAGAACATTCAGGGAGAGGGGTCACAGTAGTGG